TAAGCAAACTGACACAGCCCAGACAGCAAATGTCTTTAACACATCTCTCAGAAATAAACACATCGGGCCTGGCACAGTGGCTCACACCTGCAATGCCAGCACTTTGGGAGGCCCAGGTATGCAGATCACCTGAGGTCAAGAGTTTGAGACCAGCCTGACCAACGTGGTGAAACCCCATCTCTACTAAAAATACAAAAACTAGCAGGGCATTGTGGTGAGTGCCTGTAATCCCAGCTACTGAGGAAACTGAGGCAGGAGAATCACCTGAACCTGGGAGGGGGAGGCTGCAGTGAGCTGAGATCATGCTGCTGCATTCCAGCCTGAGTGACAAGAGTGAAACTTTGTCTCAAAAACAAAACAAAACAAAACAAAAAAACAAGAAAAGAAATAAACACATCAAATAGAAATGGAAATTTGGCAGGCAGAGAAGTAAAGAATTTGAGGAATGTAACCCTTCATCTCCAACTTGTACACAATGTGTCACAACCTGGGACAATGATAAACAGATAATTACTAGACCAGAAAGATTATATCCACACATTCTAAAGCAGAAAGCTCATAAGGAGGCCAAATTCGTGGACACAATTGAATCAAATTAGATGCTGGCCAAAGGATGGCATGAAAGAAAGAAATCAGCACTCCTGAAGAGTGGACCCAAATATAGCACAGTTGGCATAAACGCATGGCAGGACTTACGCTACGGGGTAGTCAAGAATCAGCCTTGATGCACTGGTCTGAAGCCACGTGAGTCACATGACGCATCTCAGAACGCAAACTGAGATTGTTCCGAAAAGCAAAATGCGGAAGGAGGCATTGCAGAACACCACGCACCTCGTCCCTGCAGACCCACACATCTCTGAAGACAGAGAAGGCAACGGGCCTGGGACACAGACGCTGAGGGCTTCAATTTTCTTCTGTAGAGTTTTCTTTACTAAAAAGGAAGAAAAAGTTCTGGGCAAAGTCAGGCAACACATTGAGATTTGATAAGGTGAGAGGCAGGCGTGTGGGGATTGGTGCCAGTGTTCTCCACACTTTTCTGTATTCTTAAAATAGTTTTTTTTTTTTTTTTTTTTTTAAAGGAACTAGAAGGGAGTGACTACAAATGAGCAGAAGGACCTTTAAGGGGGTGGAAATATTCTGAAATTAGACTGTGGTGATGATTGCACAACTCTGTAAATTTTCTTTTTGTTGTTTGTTTGTTTCTTTCTTTTTTTAGTAGAGACTAGGTCTCACTATGTTGCCCAGGCTGAGCTCAAACCCTCCCCCTGAGCCTCGCAAAGTTCTGGGATTACAGGCATGAGCCACATGCCCGGCCCACAACTCTGTAAATTTTCTTAAAATCATCATACACTGAAAAAGAGTGAGTATTGGCTTGTAAATTCTACTTTGATAATGCTGTTAAAAAATAAAATTAAAGATATTTAGAAGAACAAATCTTCAGTAGCTTCTAGTCCCAGCTAAGACAGAGTAAGTGGAGTGGACTCCACGTCTGTCACTGAGCACAGCTAAGACACCACACAGAATAAAATGGCAGCAGACAGACTGTGGCGGGAAATGGAAATGGGAGGCAGGACTGACGGCGTGGTCGGGGTCCTGCCTCTCGTCCTTCCATGTCTCCTGGCTTCAATTCACAGTAGCCTGAACCCCAGAGCAGCACGGTGAGCATGGCCAAGAGAAATCCTCCTTTCTGGTCAGTGGCCTAGAAAGGGGGATGCCCTGGAGATGGACACAGCCAGGGGAGATGTGCTGTTTTCGGTCTCCTGCTGCTGTCCCAGAGGCAAACCCTGGTCCTGAAACTGCACTCCCAAAGCAGCAAAAGCAGTGGCCACAGCAGCAGGAGCGACTGCAGGAGCCAGCAGGAAGTGCGTGACATGCCCGGAGGCAAGGGCCAGAGTATGAGAAACCAGTAAGAAGGGGAGGAAGGCAGCAAATCACACTGCCATGTGTGTACCTATGCAACAATCTTGCATGTTCTTCACAGGTACCCCAAAACCTAAAATGCAATAAAAAATTAAAAAAAGAGGGGCTCAAGAGAGAGATCCCATAAAGCTTTGTACAGTTCTAGACTCCGCCCTGAACTGAACCGGTAAGGAAATGACCCCAAAGAGCAAGTCAAAGGTTTTGAGAATTGAACCATGGGGTAGACCACTGACTGCTGGGGTCTCAGATTGGCCTTCCCCAAGGCCAGTGTGAGTTGGATGCAAATATACCACACAGACTTTGGAAACCGAACTCATGGCTCACGCCTGTAACTCAGCACTTTGGGAGGCTGAGGTGGGAGGATCTCTTGAGTTCAGGAGTTCAAAACCAGCCTGGAAACATAGCGAAACCTCGTCTCTACAAAAAAATACAAAAATTAGTTGGTGTGGTGGCACATGCCTGTAGTCCCAGCTACTCAGGTAGCTGCTGTGGGAGAATCACTTGAGCCCAGGAGGTTGAGGCTGTAGTGAACCAAGATTGCACCACAGCATTCCCTCCTAGGTAACAGGGTCAAAAAA